CAAGACGACCGACAATCTATAGTATAAATAGTTAAATGGGGTAAGAAAGATGGGTTCCTGGTTCGTTAGTGGGGGTCCGGAGCAAACATTTTTACGTCAATAATTTCTCTTATCCGAACACATTATTTTTCGCCGTAAATTAAAACCTATCGTATTTATATGGTTTATGAAACAGCGTTAACAGAAATGCCAAAATATTTCAGAAACATCAAAACTAACACCAACCTCATTTTAAAGGTTATTTTGTTTTTGCTATAACTATTTGAGAAATCGATTATATTGAGCTGGCATACTTAGTATATTTTTTGGACGCTTCATCGGATCGCGTGGAAATGGTCGAAAAATAACAAAAAAAACTGAAAAATCTGGAAATAACCAGTAAACACACACCCGCTAACGAATCAGACCGAAAGGCCAATGCTTGCCGTTTCTCGAATCGCGTCGTAGCGGTTACCATGGTCAGATATCATGAGGACTATCGTGTTCTCGAGTAGTTCCTGGTTGTCCTGCAGAAAACCTGAAAATGATGAATGACTGCATAAACAAGGCAGCTCACGATTACTATCATTTGTCGACCTTTCAATGCGCGGAAATATCGATTTGCAAACTGTTTGAGAGGAGTGTATGAGGTGAAAAATGCATTTGAAATTACGACACAATGAAAATAAAAAGCGGCAAACAGTCACCCACCCGCCAAATCGCTGTCCGCCACTTTCAGGGTATTCAGATATTCATGTGCCAGATCGACGTTCCAGAAAAACGTAAAAGTCGGTATGCGACGGCTGTGGTACGCTGTCAGGAATCTAATTCAATAAGATAAGAAAAAGGCTAGTAAGTTACTCCTTGACGTAGTCCAACTGCAGATTGTGGAGCGGCGACCTGTCGAAGCATTGCGGCGTGCTCTGTAGCATTTCTTTCGAGTCGTAGAGGGTCGTGAAGTATGGCCTAAAAGAGGCTTTTTCCTTCGATTTTTATGAATTAGGCATCGATCGAAAGCTCTCGGCGAGGCGGTGACAAACTTGCTCTCCGATTTTCGAAATTTTGCAATTTTTAGTCAATTTTTATGGTCGTTTCAAACAAATCAAAATTCACCTCGAACTTCGAAATTTCTATTTAACAGGTTTAAGCACCTTTTAAATTAATTTGTTTTCAATGGCCTCGAAAAAGATGCCGTTGGGTTGCCAAAAAAGTCTAAAAGTCCCAAAAATTGGTTTTAAAGGAAACATCAGAAATAACATAAAAAAGATGAAGCTGCTGGCAGAACTCGCAGTAAATCAAACAAAAATTCGAGACTTTTCAAATTCGGAAAAAACATATCCCCTTGTCTTGTCAAGAGCTCTCGATTGACACCTAGATCCTCAAAAAATTAGGCACTATTCAGCAGCGCTAGATGGAGTTTTTTTTGCGGCAGCGTGTCTACCTCTGGTAATGATCGGTGGGCGGTCGTTTCACGAATCCATGGCTGTGCTTCTTATAGCTGAACGTGCTCCATTCGGGGCGATCCTCGGAGAACATTGTCGCGTAGCCGGCCCGACCGAATCTGTAATTAATTGATTCCTAGAGTCGAGAAAAGAGAGAGAGAGCGAGAGAGAGAGAGAGGGAGAGAGAGAGAGAGAGGGAGAGAGAACGCGACAAATGATGCTACAAAGCTGAGAAAAGCTTCAGATCATCACCTACGCCACACGAAATCCGTCCAGTTGTCGTAATTAATGCCCCATTCGGTTGGTACTTCACTGGGGAAATCCTGAAAAAAATAGAATAAACTAAAAAAAGCTCAAACAACCGCTGCATCGTATCCGCGCTTGCCGAGCAGTATGGCGCAAAGATTGGGAAAGCTATTGTCGCCCAATTTTGCGTAGTCATCCAAGGTTACGAACCCCTGACGCTCCATCACTTCCATTGTCTAAATCCAAGAAGATTATGACGCAAAAAAACACACAAAAGTTACCTGAGGTAATTGACGTATGAAATTACTTCGCGACACGCCATCGATGCCGAGAAACAAGACACTCGGCCGGTCTTTGGCATCTTTGGGAAACGGTCTATAAGGAAAATATTGAAGCCTATTTTGTGCAGAATTTTTCGCTGATCGAAACGTACTTTTCAGAATCTGCGAAACGACCATATTTGAAAGACCAAACTAAGGCGAAAACGGGGCATTTTGGGGATTTTTCACGCTTCAATGCTACGTAACTTGCCAGATATATGGTCGGTTCGCAGATTCTGAAGAACGCGTCTTGATCAGCGGAAAATCCCCCACAAAAAAGGCTTTTTACGACTTCGAAACTCGCCCAAAAAGTATTTTTTTGCAGCCGGATTTCAAGCGGAAAAACTTTAGAAAACCTTAGAAACTGCCGAAATTCAAAATTAGTCAACCAGCTTAGAAAAACTCTCTCCGAATAAAAGAAAACTTTAGAAATTTGGTCACTGGAAAAGCGGATTGCCGGAAATATTAAAGAACTTTTCTAGCTTAAGCTAACAACCAACTTTCCAGTTTCCGAACTCGTCTCCCTTGGTACCACTTGGAAAAATGTGTTCCTGTAGATGCATCTCTCCATGCCAAAAGTTTGTTTGTAGCATTCGACCTGCACAAATTCATCTTCAATGGGATCAGAGGCAGCTCCTAAACAAATTTTTCAAAAACAAAAAAAAATTTGGCTCGATACCTTTAATAACCAGCCACGGCCCGTATTTTGGCTGAAAATCGTCGACGCCCGAGTTGTGCGCGACGCTGCGATAGCGGCAGCTGCTGACCGGCTTCACGATGGTCAGTGTCTTGTTGCCAAACGTCACGCATTGCTCCTGAAACATACCGTCGTTTTATTTCCGCTTACAGGGCTGCGCCGATAAAAATAGACCTGCACGGCGCGGCAGCAGGCGCCTTCCGGGCTGACATCAATGTGTTGGCAATCGACGGATCAAACGGGTCGAGCGCTTTTATTCGACAGACGCCGGATTGCCCTTTCGCAGCTAGTTGCTAAAAAAGAACAAGTCAGAAAAAGTTAGTTTCGCTAGTAAAAAATCGGCCTCATAATTCCCATAAATACGGACGGCTCTCGCGACCGGTTTTTATAGACAGCCGGGTGACCCCTGTCAGTCGGCTGCTTTCTTTGTTAGTTGCTGGGTTATTAGAGGGGTCCTCCTTTCTTAAAATGGTCCATTTTTCAACTATAAATAACGAAAGCGTTTCTCACTGCTTTTATAAATCCTAAACGT